GAGACTGTGAGGGAGGCTGGGCGCCGTGGCTCACGCTGTAATCCCAGCACTTTGGGAGGTCAAGGCGAGTGGATCACGAGGTCAGGTGTTTAAGAGCAGTCTGGCCAAGAGAGCAAAACCCTGTCTCTACTAAAAATGCAAAAATTAGCTGGGTGTGGTGGCAGGCACCTGTAATCCCAGTTACTCAGGAGGCTGAGGCAGAGAAGTGCTTGAACCCGGGAGGGGGAGGTTGCAGTGAGCTGAGATCATCGCGCCACTGCACTCTAGCCTGGGCGACAGAGTGAGACTCCATCTCAAAAAAACAAAAAGCGATTGTAAGGGAAACATGTTAGCAAGTCTGACACATATCCTTCGTTAAGCTTTCAGGAGATCATTCAGAACTTTCTTCACTCAAAGGACTAGCTCTTTATTTGCCAGCTGTCACTTACAAACATACATTTTCCATATTTTATGTGCTTCTTTGGTACCTCCAATAAGAGTATAGGAAACTCAAAAGGGGAATAACAAGGAAATTTAAAAATCATACAATGTTAATAAAATAGAAATATATCCTTATCTCTGAATTTCTATAGTACCTAATAGAAAAGAAAACAAGAAATGTATATAAAGATATACTAGTCTAAAAACCTTTTAAAACAACTTTAGTGGGTTAGAGTCACCAGGAGGACAGGTTAAAACACCAATGGGTGCTGTCCCTAGATATTCCTATTCAATCTGCCTGGGGTAAGGCCCGAAAAACTGCCTTTCTAACAGTCTCTAGGTGATGCTAACACTGCTGGTCTGGGACCACTTTGAGAACCACTGTTCTAGACTATTATTTCAAATGCTTGCTTTGGGATCAAGGTAAGAGCTATGTAACAAGAATATCAACAATGAAGACAGTTTTCATTTGATCTTTGTTGGTAGAGCAGCTCATGTATCTCTCATCTCAATTTTCTTTTATCTCTTAGTTTGACATTTTTTTGTAAGAGACTTTTATAAGTAAATTATCTTGACACTCTGAAGGTACAAATAGAGTAGAATGTTATATCAGAATGGGCTGGCTCAAGCACATATAAATCCAAACAATTTAATGCAAGAGTCCCAATATCAAATGCCCCTAAGTGCCAGACACGTCAGACAGTTAATACGAATGAGTGAAGTAGGCCAAATAGTGTGAAGAATTAGAGAGGTCATAGCTAAAGAGGGCAGCTACCACTCAGCTCCAGACAACCATTAACCAATAATATAGGTTACTGTAGCCAGATCTTTCACATTTTCAAAATAAGCTGGAGATCCAACACTTTGTGTAAAATCTCTTAAGTTTTTAACATAAGCAATTAATTTTAAAAATTTAAACACCATATAGAACACACAAAAAGGTCTGTGAGCTGGATCCTGCCAGTTTATGACCTCAGATTTAGAAGAAAGTCTCAGGAGTAATACAAGTCATGCAATGTGCTAACCTGGTCACTGTGTGCCATGGGCCCACTCCCTCTAGAAGTCATCTACTTCCAAAATAAAAAGTACTTTCTCTAAAGACCTACTAAAGCTCCTCTGTATAAGTAGCTTGCCCACCAAAACAAGTTTCCTGCCAATGATCTTAGTATGAGAAAACTGTGGCAAAGAGAAATAAATTCTTTATATGCTGAAACTACTGATCCAAGAATAATGATTAGAATTAAAGTTGGACAAAAGACCTGAATAGACATTTCTCAAAAGAAGACATACAAATGGGCAATAGGTATGCGAAAAAATGCTCAACATCACTAATCATTAGGAAAATGCAAATTGAGACCACAATGAAAGAGCCAGTGCAGTGGCTCATATCTGTAACCCTAGCATTCTGGGAGGCCCGGGCAGGAGGATTATTTGAGGCCAGGAGTTTCAGATGAGCTGGGGCAACTGGGGCAACATTTCCAGACCTCATCTTTACAAAAAATTTAAAAACCAGCCAGGCATGGTGGTCTATACCTGTAGTCCTAGCTACTCAGAAGGCTGAGGTGGGAGGATTACTACAGACCAGGAGTTTGAAACTGTAGTGACCTATGATTGCACCACTGCACTCCAGCCTGGGAGAATAAGCAAGACCCTGTCTCTTAAAAAAAAAAAAAAAAAAAAAAAGAGAGAGAGAGAGAGATATCATCTCACCCTAGTTAGAATGGCTATTATCAACGAGACAGGAAATAACAAATGCTGGTGAAGATGTGGAGAAAGGGGAATGTTCATACGCCATTGGTGGGAATGTAAAGTAACAAAACCATTATAAAAAACAGTATAGAGGTTCCTCAAAAAAACTAAAATAGATCTACCATATGATCCAGCAATCCCACTGCTGGGCGTATATCCAAAAGAAAGGAAATCAATATATCAACAAGATATCTAAACTCTCCTATTTATTGCAACACTATTCACAATAGCCAAGATATGGAATCAACCTAAGTGTCCATCAATGGATAAACAGATAAAGAAGATGTGGTATCCAAACAATGGAATATTATCCAGCCAGAAAAGAGAAAGAAATGTTGTCGCTTCTTTTATTGCAACATGGATATTACTGAAGGTCATTATGTTAGTTACAATAAGCCAGAGACAGAAAGACAAATATCATATGTTCTCACTCAAGCAGGAGCTAAAAAAGTGGATCCTATGGAGACAGAGTGAAGAATGATGGTTAGCAGTGGCTGGGAAAGAGGTGAAAGCGGGATGAAGAGAAGTTGGTTAAGGGGTACAAAAATATAGTCAGAGAGAAGGAATAAGTTCTAGTATTCAATAGTACAGTAGGAAAATTATAGTTAGTAATTTATTGGATGCTTCAAAATGGCTGAAGATTTATAATGTTCTCAAAGAAAAGTGTTTGAGGTAATAGATATCCCAATTACTCTGATTTGATCACTACACATCATGAACAGGTACTCAAATATTCCATGTACCCTAAAAATATCATAAACAAGATTTTTAAAAATTAAAAAGGATTAAAGTGACTGGGTTTTCAAAATCTGTAACATTTAAAAACAAGGAAACTGGGCTTAGAAGTACTACAGATTTGAGGATTCTCAAACATTCTGTCACAATGGTGATGTGATTTGGTACCCAGTAGTTAAACATCTTTGCCTGAAGACTGGATAAACTGAGAAATCAGTCCTTATGCACATGTTGAAGACAACTATACAGGCAACATGGAATAGATGCACAATAATTCAAATTTCAAAGGTCTACTCTGATTAGCAGTGGCAGCCTAGTGCACTGTGTTAAGGATTCTGAAGCTGAACCCTGATTCAGTGGAAAAGATGGGTGTCAAAGGCCTAGAAGAGGGGAATAGTAGCAGATGTGCCCCATATTTGGCCACCTTTGAATAGTAAATAAAAACACTGCACCTGTGTTCAGAAATTCTAGTTCTCCTATAATGTATTAATATAGCAACTAGAATAATACCTTTTAAATATAAATAGGATCAAGTCACCCCTCCCAATAGTCTTTCATTCCACTCAAGAGTAAAAGCTAAAGTTCTTTTTATTACATAAAAAGCCCTACATTATCTCGCCCTCCATTATATCTCTGATATCATTTCCTGCTGCACATCCTATTGATGCCATTCCAAAACATACTGTTTCTTTGTTGTTCTGTAAACACACTAGCCAAGTCTCTGCCTCAGGATCTTTGAATCTGCTATTCCCGCTGCCTAAAAATCTCTCCTCTGGATATTTACATAGTTCAAATTCTCATCTTCTTACCAATGAGAACTTCCTTGACTACTCTATTTTTAAAAAACTACACACACATACGCACACACACACTCTCTCTCTCCCCTAACCTCCCTTTTGCTTTGTATTTTTTACAATACTTGCTACCATTTGACACACTAAATACTTATTTTCCTTCGCCTAGAATGAAACCTCCATGAGGGATGCATTTTTGGCTGTTCTGTTAATGACTACATCCCTAGAATAGTGTCAAAAACATGACATTCAAAAAAAAAACAAAAACAAAAACCAACAACAACAACAACACTGGATAAGTAAGTAAATGAACAAACAGGTAATAAAACAAATGAACCTGGATTCTATCATGGGTTCAGTGACTAATCAGTTAATTTGCCTCAGATGAGTTATTCTGGTCCTCAAAGGATCCCTACCATTAGTTGTATAAACTATAACATTCCCGCCATTTTATAAAAGTAGAAATTAAGTTATAGAAGAATGGCATCATTTCCTCTAGGCCAGTCAGTAGTATAGTGGAAAGCCAGAACTAGACAGGTCTATCAGAGTTCAAGCCCAATGCCCAATCTGAGCTCTTTTATAAACAACAGAATTATGACAGATGAGGATCAAACTTCAGAATTTAAGAATGTAAAAATAAAAAGTTCCTGAAGAGAAAAATCTTTACTAGTAATAGTCAAGAAGAAAATGCAGACTCCTTAGCTTACTTTTTCCCAAAATTTTTATTGCTCTACTCCTTAAATTCCTATGAACATTAATAAGTGTCTATGGTTGAGGGAAAATGTTCCACAGTAGAGAAAGGAAAATACATCCAGTTTTTCATATGAAACTGGAATAATTACATATTCATCTTCTGAAAAAACTGAGAATAATCCTTTCAGCAGGGTTAAAATTAGGAGAATAGTTAGCAAAACAACAAGGACACCACAAAACAGCGTCACCCTCCAATCTAATTCTTAAATATAAAATCAAAACCCCAAATAAACTATTAAAGACAGTTGCAATTTCATTTGATGATTGAATACTTCTCTCACCATGAACAATTTCAAACTGGACAAAAAGAAAAAGTGAATATGGATTTTGAAAGCAGAAAAGATGCCACTAATCAGGGACCAGAGAACTGCTCAAACATCAATCAAAACATTGTCCTTCAGCTCAGGAGACACTGTCAGGGATAGTTTAGGAGACTCAAAATGCATAAGAAAATGCTTGGGCACTTTCAGTGAAATGACGTAATTGAATGTGTGATGTTTCAAATAACTTGCCCCAAAGACATAACCATTTACTTCCAACACTACTTACAAACTCGTAGTCTCCATCCTGTGGTATTTTCCAATCTGAAGAATTTTTCAGTGGACCAGGTACACTCTTGCCAAAGCTGTTGATCTGGTTTTCCTTTTCTTTTTGTTCAAAATATTCAAGAAAAGATGGTTTTGCAGGCTGCATGGTCTCATCCCTTCCTGAAAACCAAGAAAAATGAAAAATGAAAAGAAACTCTCTAAAATTTTAGATAAGTTTAATAGACCTACCTCCAGATGGGCTACAATCTCTGGATCAGTGGATATTTCGGTTAGATAAAGGACTCCTTCAAGAATCTAGTGAAACTAGAGAAAAACGCACAAATGCTTGCTCAAAAAATTCTCATGGAATTTCAGAGGAGTTAAGATTTCCCCTAAAATACATTCATAAATTTCCCTGGGGTCCCTTTTCCTAGATGGAAAGATTTGGGTGATGCAATAATTCTGATAATCTGCAAATAAGACATTTGGAGTCTCCTATAGCAAATAGCCCCTATAATATTTAGAATGAAACAGAAGCAACCAAAAATATTTATTTAGCATCTATCATATACAATATTCTCTACAGGCACTTAAGTAGGAAGAGGGGATGATACAGTAGAGTGACTTACTTTGATAATCTCATAATCTAACTGGAATAATGAGAAAAATATACATGAAAAAGAAAACTTAAATAAATCACAATCCACTCTATGAAATATTATGTAACTTTAAAAATACTATCTACATACGGCTTACAATAAACTTAAGGGAAAAAACAGGATACAGTATTATATATACAGTAAGATTTTGACTCTATAAAATCATATATAGGAGAAAAACAAAACTAGGGGGAAATACCCAAAATGTTAACAGGGTTCATCTCTGGTAGCAGCACTATTGGTGATTTTATTTACTTCTTATGAACATTTTTTAAAGAAGATAGTATTGAACAGGTATTAAATAAATAGAACTGATTACAAGAATTATACGTGCCCAGTTCTTGCAGGCTGTGTGGTCAGGGAAGATTGGTAAAAGGGGACTTAGACTGGGCCTCAAATCATCCTGGAGTAAAGCATCAGCAGTTACACAGCAGCACTAATCATTAAGAGAGCAGAATACAGCAGCTATTAGTTACTAGTAACAAGAGCAGAAAGAATAATTTTACCTGGCATGATTTAAAAATCAAGCTAGCTGAATGTACCTGTTTCAAAGGTTGAAGTATCTTTGTGCCTGTGATTAGTATTCTAATATAGGGAGATACAGGAAGTATTTTTCATTGCTTTCCATGAACATAGGGGTTTATGCGGCCCTTTCCCACAGTAAACAGGAAAAACAACCAGAAGGTTCAGCACCTTAAGAAGTAGATGAGAAGGTATCTAGAAGATAAAGAACAGCAAGTGTCTCTCTCCAGGCACCCTTGGTCTATGCAATCTTACTTATTTCATGACACTTCCTAGTCCAGTTTCAGGCCAGCCGCCCTACCTCTCAGAACATTTGTTATTTTTCTCACTATCACCATTGCTAAGATCAACAGCAGCCAATCCCGTATCTGCCCACATCCACACACTGCCAATGGCTTCCTACTACACTGTTTTCTCCTCACTAATTAAGAATTAAATACATTATTTGCTAGGACCAATCAGCAAGTATATAGTGTTTTGTTTTGTGTGCTCTAGGTATGATGTTAGGTACTTTTCATGCTTGTTTTCATTTTTAAATTAAATTTAAGGCACTACTTCATAATATAGTTCTGCAGGAACTACAACAAAATAAAACTTGTAAAAATGGTGGTGCATTGGATTTGCCAATGAGTCGGGAAACTATGTTCTTTTGCTCAGTCCCCTCCTCTCAGACCACCAAAGGAGAAGACTGGCTCAGAGACAACTCTGCAGCAATCTTACACATAATCCTACACATTAAAAAAAAAAAAAGTATTCAGAGAACCCCCTAAAGTCAAGCAACTTCAAAAGTGCTGCAAACTGCTGGCATATATAATACACAGTATACTTTTATACAAAATATCTCAACCCGCTGAACAGAATAAAGCTTAGAAACAAAATAAAAAGTCCAAATGGCTATCCGAATAATGGGACAGCTATTTGAGAAAAGATTAAATTGAATCTATATCTCATACCTTAAGCCTGGAAAACTCCAAATGGATAAGAAATCTAATTGCAAAAAATGGAAAACTTTACTAGAAACAAAACGTGTGAATGCATTTAAAACCTGGTATGGAAAAGGCTTTCCAACTATGATATAAATCCAGATATAATTTTAAAAATGGTTAAAAACCTTTTATGTGAAGAAAACACCACAAATTTTAAAAAATTAATAATCACACACACAAACCTCATAAGCCAAGACAGAAGACAAATGACAAGCAAATACCATTAAAATGGTTTAAAGAATTTTCTTTTTATTTAAAGAAAATTTTAGCCAGGCGTGGTGGCTCACGCCTGTAATCCCAACACTTTGGGAAGCCGAGGAGGATCACCTGAGATCAGGAATTCGAGACCGGCCTGGCCAACATGGTGAAACCCCATCTCTACTAAAAATACAAAAATTAGCTGGGCGCGGTGGCAGGAGCCTGTAATCCCAGCAACTTGGGAGGCTGAGGCGGGAGCATCACTTGAACCCAGGAGGTGGAGGTTGCAGTGAGCCAAGATCATGCCATTGCACTCCAGCCTGGGCAATAGAGTAAGATTCCACCTCAAAAAAAAAAAAAGAAAAAGAAAAAAGAAAGAAAGAACATTTTAAGAATTATTTATATGTTAGGGAGATAAGCTCCCAAGACCTTCTTAAATCAAGGGAAAGACAACAGAAGAAAAGAAGAAAACTAAAGACTTGAAAAGATAAAAAACACACAAAGATATCCAACGGGTCCTTAAACATGAAAAAATTGCTGAGCTTCACTCATAATAGGAGAAATTCAAATTAAAACTACTTAGAGGGACCATTTCTTACATTTCAGACTGGCAAAGCTTCAAAAGCTTGAAAACACACTATCTGCTGGCAAGGCTGTGGGGGCACAGGCACTCACACATTGCTGACCTGGAATGCAAAATGGCATAATCCCTGTGAAGGGGATCTGACACTATCTAAATATCAAAATGTGAAATTGGGAAAGGCACAGCAACTTGTTGTGTTGTATTTGAACTGAGGTATTATGACCTCATGATTTACAAAAAAAAAAAAAAAAAAAAACAGACATTTCTGAGCTTTCTTCATCAAAAGGCGTTGGAGCAATGACACTCCAGTACAAATAAGCACGTGTAAGTGGCTCAGATATTGGTTTCCAAATACCATTTCCTGCTAAAAGGAACTAGAATTACTTAAGAAAAACAGGTGATTCCAAGTCTAAGGCAGGAAAATTACAAAATGGACCTGAATCTGGAATATTTTTTGTGCCAAAAAAAAAAAAAAAAGGCCAGCAAGTACTCAAAAACTGATGGGGACATATCAAAAGGATACAGGAGCCACCTTGAAGGGCCCTCACTGGTAAAGTTTGGGACACTCTGAGCATCAAAAAGAATGCACTCAATAAGAGATCAGAGCAATAATCTAAAAGTGAAGGAGGTTTGGGAGAGAAGCGAGAACTCTTCTTTAGAAACATTACTATTTACGTTGGGCACAGTGGTTCACACCCTGTAACCCCAGCACTTTGGGAGGCCAAAAGAGGAGCATCCCTTGAGCTAAGGAATTTGAGACCAGCCTGGGCAACATGTTGAGACCTTGACTCTACTAAAAATAAAAAAAATTAGCCAGGCATGGTGGTACATGTCTGTAGTCCCAGTTACTTGGGAGGCTGGGAGGTCAAGTCTGCAGTGAGCCATGATCATGCAACTGCACTCCAGCCTGGGAGACAGAGTGAGACATGGTCTCAAGAAATAAAAAGGAAAAATCACTCTTTGACCACTTTATTGTGGTAACAAAAAAGAGCATCTCCTTTGTAGGAAATACAAACAAAAGAGGGTATCTTCTTTCTTAGGAAATACACACTTAAAATTTGAGAGTAAGCTGCATATATCACACACCCACCTCTCTCTTTTCATTATTTCTGTCACTTGTGTCTATTTATCCATCCATCCATTCATCTTTATATATGCACAGATAAATGACTAAATTGAGTTTATCAATAAAAATGGTGACTTCTGGACAGAAATAACAGGTAATTTAAAACTTTTTCTCCAATGGAATTTACAAAAACCATAAGGGCATCATTCTTGTTTAAAAAGTATTATATCCAACAATATATTTCTATGGTTCTTCATTAATTCCTTTCAGTTGCAATACAGGTGGACTTAAGAAATTGAATCTTTAAAACAAGGATGATGAAACACTAAAGATAACATTTCTGTAGTCTAATTCTAAACCATGTCATAAAAATCAAAGAAATGTCTGTTAAGCGAGAATATAATCATTTGTCTAACTTCTGTCACCGTTCAGATGAAAAAGTGAGAACATCTGCCTTCCTCATATTTGAGTTCTTCTTTCTTACCAAACCACTTAAAAATTTCTAATTTTTGAAGTTAAAACACCAACTGTTCTTTGTCTCTTTCAACAATGAAAATCCACAAATAAGGAAGTCTATCTAAAATATATTTGCTTTTACCTTCTGATATCAATACCAGGGACCTGATTATACCTGACATTTACTAGAATTCAAATTTCCAAAAACTAAAGTGAAATAAAAAGAGAAGTTTTTTATCTAATCACATATTTAGATATAAGCTGCAAGTAAAATGCACATATGTATTAGAAATTTAATTATAGCAAAATGTTTAGTTAAAATGTTACATTTATCAGACTGCCAAAAAGCTAAAGTTGATTTTGGAGACAGAAGAATGGAAAAATCCCTCTCCTCAAGTTTTATGTTATGTATATTTTACCACAATTAAAAAAAAAAGGAAAGTAAATCCCTATTCTGCAGTTCAAAGATTTAGATTCCAGTTCTGACTATATGATCTTGGTAAAACCACAGGTTCCCAATCTGCAAAAAGAAGACACAGGGCTAGATTACATCTAATGTTCCCTGAAGCTTTGAAAAGTTCCATGATTTTATGACTTGGCAGTAGCATATGAAAACATATTTATACTCAGTTATTAATAACTATTCAAAAGAAGAAGTTCTTATCTCTAGTAGGATTATGATACTGGATGCCTCTAATCTAAAACATGCT